CTCAACACGCCGTTCGTCGTGGAGCAGTCAGTGTATGGGACCTGTGTTGGAATGAGCCAAAGAACAACGAGCGAAGGACAGTTTACGGAGTGGGTCTCCGACACGGCGATGCCATACAAGAAGTCTTGGAACAGCGCAACAAACTAGGACATCTGATCAGCCGCAGAGCCCAACAAGGATACACCTTCTTTACCTGGTCCTGCACAGGAGTTAGTAAATATGCAGCTCGCTGCAGACGGAAATACCCACAAGGTAGACAGTTCCGTTCGGAATCGTGCTGGCTACGAATAGCACGATTTCCTCGATCTCATTCCCGCCCGCCCATTGCACGTTGCTGGGGTGCTTGTTGATGCGTCGGACATTCTGGCGCACCTCGGGCTCGATGGACTCCAGAAGAAAGTCGTTGATCGGATACAACGCGTCCGAGAAGATAAACTCTGACCACACCAAGATGCCGAGCTCGTCGCAGAGCGAATAGAAATCGTACCCCCCTTCCTCCTCCGAGTCGGGCTGGTAGATTCCTCCACCCCATACGCGTAGCTAAATTATGTCGGCGATCAAGAATATTGTTGGGGGAAAAGCACGCACCATGTTCTGACCACTTTGCACCGCGCTTTCGAGCACCCAACGCACCTGCTCTGTCTGAATCCGAGCATAAAACGGGTCGAACGGGATGACGTTCGTGCCGAGGCTGTAGAACGCCTTTCCGTTGATCTCGAAGTGCCACTGGTCCCCTGGGATGATACCCCGCGTCTCAATGTCCTCCTGCGAGTAGGGTAGCTGTGCCAGCTTCACGGTCCGGAAGCCCGTGCGCACTGTGGTTGAAACATCTTCGGCAGAATCCTGGAGGCCCAGGGAGATCGTGAGGTTGTAGAGCTTTGGGCTGCCGAGGTTGTGCGGGTACCAGCGCTGCGGGATGGCGTCAGGGATCTGCCAGAGAACGGTGACCCACGACGGTGAATCGCCCGTCGCAGCAAGCGGATCGAGCGAAAAGACGGGCGAGGTGATGTTGAGCTCTGTGAAGGCGAGTGTGATGGAAGGCGCGTCGAACGCGCCGGACGAGCGCAGAGCAAGAGTTACGTTCACCACCCAGTCGGCGGTTTCGTCTGGGGCAACCGAGAAGTTTTGTCCCATTTTGTAGATGTCGACAGCAGTTTCCTCAATGAAGACAGGGTGGGAATCGTCCGTGGTATTAGTCAAATTCGACAGGGAGATGAGATAAGCGGGTTTGATTATTCCGCTCGGAACGAAAGCTGGACCCTGTCAGGAGGTATCAAACTAATGGTCCTCGACCAACAAAATCAATTACCCAATCCCACCCGAAGTCCGACGCCGTTTTGCGTATATATGCACGATTTACCGGGATTTCGAACTCGAACTGGTCGGATGAGACTGTCAGCAGCCAGGATTCATTTTAGAAGGAACTCACAAAGCTCGCGAGAGTGTCCTCTGCGTCCGGTCTGGTGCTGACATTGAGACCGTAGTAATACGCGGATTCGAATGCAACCGTTAGGTTTCCAGCCGTGACGGAACTCAAAAATGAAACGTCAAATACGTATTGGCGGAACTCGTTATTGACCCAGGCAACAGGCTGGCCGGCCAATGTCTATTGGGATATCAGGGTTGTCCTCGCTTAACTTCCAGAGTGGCTCACTATGTTTGCGACAGTGTCCAACCCATAGAAGACCAACAAGATCTGATCCGCGGCGTCGAGCCCACTCGCCAGGACGGGCGCCAAATCGGCGGTGTACGTCCAGTTGTCCATAAATACCCAGCGCTCGGTGAAGTCTGGAAAGACTCTGATGAGATGATTATACAGTAAAAGAATGCACGAGCTTCCGCACCATTGAGGCCAAGAAGAGGTTCAGTGATGATGCCTGCTCGTGTCAAATCGAGGTGCGCCTGGGAGGGGAGAGTGCCGGGGACGGCAATGGAGCCATTCTGGTTTAGCAGGGTCCACTCGAGGGACGATAGATCGAAGACCGCGGCTAGGCAGCAAGGAAGCCACCATAGTAATAGTATCAGCGGTTGCATGGTGAGATCGGTGTAGAAGGGAACCGACGAAGCATGTTATATAGGAAAAACGTGGACTGCGGCGCCTGACTGATGGGTGAATCAAAACACAATTGCACCGTTTCCCACGAATAGAGAAGGCTGCCGTCACCTTCCTTTGATCTGAATCCGAATCGCGTTTTGGCGGAATTTTAATTTAATTCTTCAAGCAGCAGAACTCGTTGCTTGGCACTTGCCAAGACTCATTGTAAGTTAGAGAACATCCTAGCGAATTTATTAGCCTAATGTTTCTGTAAGCCATCAAATACGACTCGCATCATTGTACAGCAACCCGTCAACTGCGGATTCGGGGCCCGGCGGCCCAAAGGATGACACGGAGATATCTAGTAATGTAATTCTTGATTGAAGTGACGGCCTGAGGATCGACAATCAAGTCATCAGGCCGGGTGGTTCGAGTCGGAGGAGGTTTCGGATCCGAGCCAGCAATGGACTGGCTCGACCTCAATATCTGGAAATGACGTTCAACATGCAGTGAAGATATCAATTTTGGAGTCGGCAGGGAGGAGAGACCTGGGGCGGCTAGTATCTCGATCCCTGGCATATGCATATCCAGTTCAATCGGAAATGCAAGGATTTGGAGGCCACTGGCGCACGGCGGACGCAATTGGGTTGGTTATGGAAGGAGAGCAAGTGCTGAGGGGACCCCTGATCCCTCTCGACACATCGACCCGTCGTCTAGGTTCAGCCCATGTACCCCAGTCAACCGAAAGGGGAAAAGAAAACAGATGGACTCGGAAGACGGCCCTATTCACTCCCCATACATTGACAAACGACGACGACTTCGTGACCGGTACCGGAATGAATTGCAGACTACACCTCGCGCCATGGTACTGCGTTTGTCGAGCGCACTATCGTGTCAGCTTAAAATATGATCCCTAGTCCCACGCGCCAGACACCTAGGTGAAAGAATCGTCAGATCCACCTGAACCGTGTTCCCTGATGCTGTCTCTTCGGAATCATGATTGTCTGCGAACTCTCCGAAACAATAACCAACTTTCAATAGCCTCCCAGAACCCACGGAGGAATACGGATCGAGGGGAAAGAGAGTTACTCGTTCTGCAGCCATTAAACCAGTAATTATGCTGCACGGACCAGCGCTGTCATCTCCCAAGCTCACCGACATGCCCTGTCCTTTCTGCCGATCGAAACCCTCCCCGCGAGCGGAAAGAGAGGTCGCCTGGATGGGAAAAAATGCCGAGGAAGTCGGGGGCACTGGCCAACAAGGGGAAAGAGAGATTCCCAGTGAATCCCGCCCACAAATTTTGTGAGGTTGTGCCTTGCTTTTTTGTGAAGAGACTAATTTCCATATAGGGTCTGCAGCGAGTTGTGCACTGTGGGACTCAGAGAAAGTGAAATTCACCCTGATTTTCACCAGGAAAGCAGGAGAAATCCGATCAAATCGTGTTCGTTCCGGGTGCGCCGAAATGGTCACGTGCCGTATCGAAACTAACATCGGGTGCCCCGAAATTTCCGTAATCCCGGTGTGATTTTCTCGGCCATTTTCTCGAGGGACAGAATGAAGTCAAATATATCGGCCGGCGACAATTTCAAGACAGGGTGATGCGGGGGACGGCGTCGACATCGCTCGGATATAAAGGTGGGTGGAAGGGAGGGAGGGAGCGGGCGTGGTGAATGGTGCACGGTTGTCTTCAATGCATTAGACAGGCCATTGAAGTTTAAGCAGCAGATCCAGGTTCAACTCCCGGCGCCCGCGTGCAGCTGCGTCAATGCTTTTTTACTTTTTCTTTCTCTCTTGGGCGCGGCAGTCTGAGCCGGTTGATGCTTTTCGTGGGGTGCCTTTTCGCGTTGAGTTTACATACTTACAATTTGTTCACATGCTTTAAGTTGGGATGAGGCAAGCACTTTCGGAGAAAGAGCATGTAAGGGACTAATTCGCTCGGATATAGGGGGGTGGAGGGAGGGAGGGAGGAAGTGGGCGTGGTGTACGGTACACAGCTGTCTTCATTCGCGCCTCTGTATGTTGTTATTACTGTAAGCAGCAGATCCGGGTTCGACTCCCGGCGCCCGCATTCCGAGGAAACTGCGATTTCTTTTTGTCTGGCCTTAGACTTTGGTCCGACGTTGGTTGTTTAACATATTTCAGCTGCGGAGGGGACGGTGCCCCTCGATATTTCATAACACCTCCTCGACAATTCATAACAGAAAGTTGGATTCAAGTTGGACAGGGACGGAGTCGGGCTGATATAAAGGGTGGAGGGAGGGAGGGAGCGGGCGTGTTGTACGGTGCACGACTGTCCGCATTTTATGCTGGCTTACAGCTGTTCTCGAAATTAAAATTAATAAGACGGATCACTTTTGTTTTTCTCATTCCCAAAAAGGAAGGTGTGTACAAGAACACCGATTTACATCCATCATGAGGGCAAGGGAGACTAGCCTATGCTCTGGGGTCAAGTCTGTCAAATTTCGAGCGGAAACACTTAGTGCAATGCCTAGAATCGAACAAACAGATGGGATGGCGAAGTCACGTGGACACACGGCTGATCGGCCGCTGTCAAAGTCGCGGTTGTTCAAACCTCGCGTCGAACGGCTTCATTGAGACCTCGGCCCTCCTCGCAACTGCTCCAGGCCAGAACCCCTGGCGTGTTTGGTCTAGGCAACAATACTTTCCTTTTTGAGAACTCAAAAAAAAAACCAGCATGGCCAATCAGTCTCATTAATTTCGAGAACAGCTGTAAGCATCTGTACATGAGTAGCAGGTCCGGGTTCGACTCCCGGCGCCTGCATAATGTCTTCGACGGTCAAGTCTTTTTCGCATTAGTCCGATGACCCGGGTGGTGCTGTTGAGTTTATAGTGTACCATGGTGTGAAAATTTAATTTGGGATGAGGCGAGCACTTTCAGGGAAAGAGCACGTAGGGGCGACTAACTCGCTCTAAGATAAAGGTGGGTGGAGGAGGGAGGCAGGAAGCGGGTGTGGTGTACGGATCACCGCTGCTTCATATAGATTGAAACACCTGTGCTAGCAGTAGACCCGGGTTCGACTCCCGGCGCCCGCGTGGACATCGTGTCGTTGCGTCTTTTTGTACTGGCTATTATCTGCATTCCACTCCGGGGACTCTGAGTCGCGTCTTGGCGGGTTGGTTCATATCTTCAGTCCGAGTTGTCAACACAGATGAATATGTAACTCCGACCAAAACAAGTGGAGGGCCAGGAATACTGTAACACGTCCCGCGATTAATCGAGGGTAGTGGAGATTTGTGGTTCGGAGTGCTGCGAGGCATTGCGAAGAGGCGCTGGCTGCAATCCCTGTGACCTAGGGAAGTTCAAAGGGGAGGGAAGAAGCGGGTGTGGTGTACGGTACACTGCTGTCCGCATTTATGCTGGCTTATGCATCTGTACATGAGTAGCAGATCCGGGTTCGACTCCCGGCGCCCGCATGGGCAAGGCGTCCTGCCTTTTCTTTTTTCTCGCCATCGTCTTCGATTCCACTGGGATCCCGAGTTAAGTTTAAATTTAAATTGATTTGATCTTGAACAACTAGCTGAATTCCTTCATGGAACAGCATCAATTCGACAGTCGATCGGTCTGTGAAACGTACTGGGTGCTGTGAGGCGACTCGCCAAAATAAATCGAGCCTAGGGATGTCGAGAGGGGAGGCAGGAAGCGGGCGTGGTGTATGGTACACAGCTGTCTTTCATTTGCATGCACATAAGCAGCAGACCCGGGCTCGACTCCCGGCGCCCGCGTGGCTTCTCCAATGCTTTTTTATTTATTTTATTTTATGTAGTTTTTTATTTTTATTTTTATTGGGTGGGGGGCGCCGTAATGCTTTTCGTGTTGAGTTTACAGTACAGTACATACTGTACAATTTGTTTGCATGAATCTGAAGTTGGGATGAGGGAACGAACACTGCGTCTTTGTTAATGGGTGTATTTCTCCAGGGTGATTAAGCAGTTCTCCGGGTGATAAAGTGGTTTCCCGAAATCTACTTAGCGTGCGACGAGAGCTGAGGCTGAGTAGATCTGGCCATGGGTTGGCTCAATTTTCGAGTCCACGCATAAATTGGCTTTATACTAAAACAAGTGCTCGAAGGCATGTTACTTAGGATCCTGGCCAAAATCACTCGGACCTGGGGAGGTTGAGAGGGGGGGGAGGACGCGGGTGTGGTGTACGGTACACAGCTGTCTTTCATTCGCGCATCTCCAATTCAAGCAGCAAACCCGGGTTCGACTCCCGGCGCGCGCATAGTGTCGGAGGTCGTATTTTGCGTCTAAATTTAGTTTTTATTTGGCGTTTCCTGAGATACCTGAAGGCGAGAAGGCAGAGAATTTTCTGGGTGAGAGGGATATTTAAAGAGACGGTATCACGGAGATCGGCAGGCATATTGATTCGAAGCGCAGGGGTGCGGATCAGTGTGCAGACTGGGGCAAGGCTGTGTGCGTGTGGGCGCTGGACAAGAGAAGAGGGCCAGGCCAAGTGGTAGACTCGTTACCAGCCTGCCTACGAATGGTAACAATGTGACGAGCACGTTGCCGTAGGCAGACTGGTACAGTTCGGAGAAGTTGATTGGTGTGGGCGCGGAGTTTGAATTGTTTTGCGTGCCACGCCCTGGGCTCAAATCTTCATATTTCATTTTGGTCAAAGTTGAGGAGTTGAATATCATAGGAATTGCTTACTTTTTGTCTCCTCAAAATTTTCTTTACGGCCCCAGGTTGCTGTAGCGTGGCCCCGAGTTTAATCGAGAAAGTGACGCTCCGGTCCGAGGGACCGGGAACCGGTGATCGGCAAGTCTTCGGCACCCCTGTAAAATTTCAAACTCAGGCCCAGCTCAATTAGGCTTTCCGAATTGTACCAGCCTGCCTATGGCAACGTGCTCGCCACATTGTTGCAACTCGTAGGCAGGCTGGTAACGAGCCTAGCCAAGTGGGGCGTTTGAACGGTAACGGCAGCGTGACCCCGTGACGCCACTTGGTCTCTGCCTCCTCGACTCGCCCGCCTGTGTGCCCGCTGCTGCCCGCTGCCATGGCCGCTGTGGGAAACGACTCGCCGCCTTTGCGCAGAACGATCCTCGGATCGTTCCTGGGCCCCGGCCGCCCGCGCAACTCGTCGCAATCGCACCGACATCGCCGCCGCGCGCGAGATGTCCCCGTCCCCGCCGAGCGCGCGGCCGCTGTTGCCGATCTCCGTAGCGGCTCCCAATCCTACCTCACGTCCACCCCTTTAGTTCTTCTCCGCCCTATTTTCCACATTCAATTCTGTGTTACGTGTCCCTTCTCAAGTTTCATTTCCTTATCTACCCTCTTGCGTCTCCTTCCTTCTCTCTTCTTTCCCTCGTCTGCATCCCTCCCTCTTTTTAATCTCTCTCCCCTCTTCCCCTTTACCTCCTCATCCACTCAAGCCATGCCGATATGCCCTTCGTTGATTTCGGCCTTGGCGGGGCGCGCATGTCCCGGCGGGCGGCAAGGTGCTTGTTCTGCGGATGCTTGCGCTGCGAGTGACAGCGAGCACTAATTGGCAGTACGTTTTTCAGGCCCCGCGGGCAGATTGTGCCCGCGTCGCAGGCCATCTCTGCTGCGCCCAAGAAATGTGGATTCGAATTCTTCACTCGCTCCTCCCTTCTTTCTTTCTCTTTCCTCTCGTTTTCCACCTTCACTTTATCTTCCTACTGCGTGTTGACAACTCCCAACTCGCATCCCCTCGCGTGCCCGTCCTTCCCCCTCTGCTCGACCTTGGCTTGCCTCTCCCTGTCCGCTGCTGTGCAGCAAACAGGCCGTCATCGTAGACTTGAAGGTAGCACTTCCGGCTCGGGTTGAATTCTGTGAAAATGAACCACAGATTTTAGGTGAAAGAATACTGATGAGTTTTGGCTTATTCTTCGCGATTTGTACGGATAACGGTGTATTATGTCAATAGGAATTGAGAGGTTCCCAGCCTTCAATTCTGAACTTAGGGATGTGAAAGGGGGTTTTACCGTGGGCAGCAAGACCACACTGGCATAAAGCGGTTCTGATCCGGGTTGTGAGAAATACCCGTGGCCGGGTAACATGTGAGGGATTCTGTGACTCACTAACTCCGACGCTCAGTTGAGGGTTGAAAGTCCCTAGGCAATCTTGTGGCAAATCTCAATGGCACGGCACTTGCCGGTCGATTTAAGCTCCGCCATCACTTGCGGCGGGTAATCCCGGTGAAGCTTCCTTTTTCTCTTCACCGTCACTCCTCCGCATCTTTCTGTGCTTGCGACGAACAACGCGCTGAAATGCACCACGCATTGTGAATTGTTGAGGTTGTGGAGATGATTTGCGTGCAGGTGGCCCCGGCGGATGCACTCACACTCAGTCTCCGGCACACCTCAGATCTTTCTCGACTTGCTAGAACTTCCATGGTTTTTCTCAATCCTGCACTTGACGTCCTGTGGAGCCACCAGGGTACACTTGTGAATCTTCTTAGAACCATGCCGGGCGATCTATGGGATATCACAGAGACTCGAGATAACGGAGGCAACGGAGAGGACGATGATGCTGTCCCATCGAATCTTCGTATCGTGAGGCCGAAGACCCGTCCTGTTTCTTTGAAGGAGACTAATTTCTATATAGGCTCTCCGGCGAACGGCGACCTTTGCCGATTGGGACCGCTTTCTCTTCTATTCGCGACGCGTACAGTCTCTGAGCGTTGGTCCACAAGACCTCGAGACTCAGGAGGTCTACGAGACCCTCAGTTCGTGCTTTCCCGAGGACCTCATATTTCCCCGTCTCCGTAAACTTGATTGGGCTCCCGTGACAGAGGAGACTTCCCATTACGTCGGCTTGTTTCTCGGACCGGGGATCACAGATCTCGCCATCGATATCCTAACCATCCCAGACCTCTCAATATTCTCGACAATTGCCGATAAATGTCCTCTTCTGACCATCGTCGCTATTGGAACCTCCTTTATTCCATCAGTGGCCGCCATCCCGTCGGTCTCGAAATTTGTATGCGCGCTACGCCACCTTGAATCACTTGTTGTGGCCGACCTCAACCAGGCAGCCCTGGCACACATAGCTGGACTCCCCGCCCTGCGATATCTGTGGTTGATGTCCTTCAACTACCGTATTCCCCCCGTTCCGCCTCCGCCTGGATCTCCGCATTTCCCTGCCCTTACAACCCTCGAGTGCGAAAAAATGGAGAACGCCCCTGCACTTCTCGAATATCTGAAACCTCCACTCGAGAACTTCACCCTCATCACGAGGCGCCGCCGCGTACCACTTACCAAAGATACAACTCGAAAATTCTATTCCGCGCTGGCGAGCCACTGTTCACATGTATCGCTTCAGACCATAACCGTGCAAAGGGGTTATTACTCGGAGCCAGTACATGCGAGCCAGCTTGAAGAATACACGGTCGGAGGCGACATCCTCAGGCCTCTATTTTGTTTCCGCAATCTTGTCAGCGTCTGGCTCGACCACGCGACCGACGTCGATCTGGACGATGCTGTGGTCAAGGACATGGCTCGTGCATGGCCACGCATCGCAAGACTAGCACTCCCAACGGCCCCCGACCATCGTGTCCGGTCTCGGGTCACACTGGAGGGCATCTATGCATTCGCCAAGCGCTGCCCGTGTTTGGAGGAACTCAGGATAGAATTCGATGCCACCGTCGTCCCGAAAACTAAAGTGAATGGGCGAAAGAGATTCAGAGCGTCCCAAGGCAGCTTGTTCGAACTCGACGTCGCATCCTCAGCCATCGGCAAAGCGCGCCCCGTGGCGAAATTCCTGTCGGCCATATTCCCGAGTTTGGATATCATCAGAACCGACGAATCGTCGGTCGACCCGCAGGATGGTGCCTTACACAAGGCTTGGAAGAAAGTCGAAAAAGCTCTATGGGATTTCTAGGTGGCTCTCGGCCAATTAGTTGGCTCTTGTGCTCTTTCGGTACGTCATTCAGCCATTCATTGCCCTCTCCAGATCTCTTAAATCCCGCCAGCTTTCCGATTCTGACCTCCGATCAATTTCATGGACGCCAGCTCCCTCAGCATATTATGTTTTCTTCGCGAATCACAGCTTAACTGTCTTGTTCTCGAGTTGGGTTGACCTCCAACCTACTAATTGGCACGCCATTCCGGCATCCCTCTCCATATCCAGATCTCACAGCTCCCTCTGATAATTCGCATCGAGTTAACGAACCCATTTCTGTCAAAATGCGTCTTTTCCCGCCAGCTCCGAGTTCGAACCTCATAGTACATGTAATTATCTTGCCATCTCCCAACGTACCTAGCTTCGCGCTTCAGTGTTGTACGCTGTTTTTATGTTTTTTCATTCGTGCCTCGCTGCTGATCCACATTGCGGGCTTATGAATCAGTTCATTGCCTCTGATCCTATGTCACGAAAGAATGAAAATAAAATACACCAAATTACAATTATCGCTCCACTCTTGCAAGCGGAAGACAGCAAAATGCAGAGAAAACTAGAACACGAAATAAAACAGCCGGAGATAAAGACATTACCCTGGACGGTACGCCGTGCACCTCTCCCCGCCTCACCCGTAAATGCAGAGCTCGACCGCAGCTCCGAATACAAGATCGGCTCCAAGTCCTTTCTAGAGATTATTACCAGAGATCTCTGCTCTCGTCCTCTGCAGAATAGTTCAGAGCTTGAAGAACAATAGAGAGTTTGCGCAAAAGCCATTCAAGCCATCAAATGGCTTTTGTGCCGTGCGCAATTTGATGGCTAATGGCTGGTATGGGTCTGGATGCTGACCATCTATTCTCTTCAGAGATGGTGTCTGCTATTATATGTGCGGATATCTCCCCCAAAAAAAACACCTTTCACACATTCTCGCAGACCATTGTTGTAAAAACAATTGAAATCCTATATTTCAAGCGGAAACTGGACTTCTTCGGTACAATTGAATGCAAAGGGGAGTGTAACAGTCTGCATATGATACGAATGAGCTCAGGCTAATCCAATATAAGAGTCGGTTCAAAAGCCATATGTGCCACAAGCCATCTGTTTGCGCACTGCAAAATACCCATCAGATGGCTCGAACGGCTGTTGCACAAACAGGTTAATAAACTCCTCGCAGCGCGACCAGCTGTCCGCGCCCACACGTGCGCCCATCTGCCAGTCCTTCGTATACTCCAAGCAGTTCATCGTCACGAACCGGACGTCCCGTGAGAGCTCATGGTAAAAGTCCTCGTACCCAGAAAGTCCCGAGCACTTCAAAAGAACCTGCAATGATCTGCACGTCTTGAGGAGCTGTCCGCACACGGGGAGGAATGTTGTGGCATTGAATGCAAAATGTGTGAGGCGGGGAAGGCGCGAGAGGCCAGCCCATACCCCCATGTCGCTCGTCAAGGAGGGCCCACCATCGACTACCTCCAGATGCGTGAGCTGAGAGAATGGAGAATGGGGAAAATCAATAGGTGAATCGCCGAATAGCCTGCCCAAATGTGCATAAAGCCGCTTTAAGGGCAGGGCGCCAATGAGTTGGAAGGGAAGCGCATCTCGGAAGAGTCCAATATTGAATGATGTTCAGGTTCTGTGCTTACTATATTGTTACAACCTCCGTAATTCTCCCGTTTTCTCCCACCGTCACCCTTCTGTACACCGGTTTTAAATTTTATCAACCGCCTTGCAGACTGCACCTGGTGTTTCTGACCTCTCATGCTCGTTTCTTTGGGAAGTACAATGTAACGAGGTCGGTATTCCTTTGCACAAGATGCTTCCCTTGTTTTTACGCCGGTAGTTCCGTTGACGGTGTATGCCTGAGCCGAGTGGGTGTGAGTTACACAAGATATTTTTCCCAATCCGCTATTAGAGAGCCTCGATGGTCTATTAATAACTGAGGGGAAAATGGGATGTAATAGGCCAGGCCAAAATCACTCGAGCCTAGAGATGTTCAGAGTAGAGGAAGGAAGCGGGTACCGGGTGCGGTGAATGGTACGCAGCTGTATCTCATTCCCGAATCTCCAAATCGGAGCAGCAAACCCGGGTTCGACTCCCAGCGCCGCATGAATTCTCATCGTCCTCTTCTTTTCCTGGCTTTTTGTTCCAGTGACTTAGTTGATTTAAATTTATTTGATTTTGAACGACTGACTGAATTCCTCACAGAACAGCATCAATTCGACGGTCGGTCTATGAAAAGTATTACAGGGTGCAGTGGGGCGGCTCGCTAAAGGCGGTCGAGCTTGGGAAGGAACATGCGGGCGTGGTGCACGGATCATCGCTGCTTCATATAAATCGAAACACCTGTGCTAGCAGTAGATCCGGGTTCGACTCCCGGCGCCCGCGTAAGTCGGAATGTTGGTTACCATTTTATTCCAACTTTGAGCCTGAGTTGAGTTTGGGTTGGTTGAATTTTCGGGTTTGAGCATGAGCACGTAGCGTGAATTGATTTGGACTCGGACAAGTGCAGGTGCAGACTGTCAATGCTGGTTGGATTGATACAAGGGATCTTACCAAAATCGGTGGAATCTGAGGAACGTGAGAGCGGAGGCAGGAAGCGGGCGTGGTGTATGGTGCACGGCTATCCTCAATGAGCAATGGTTGGGATTGCAGACAGCAGATCCGGGTTCGACTCCCGGCGCCCGCATGGGGAGTGCACATGCTTATTCCATTTTTGCTCGCTGTCATTCCATTATTTGCGGGATTCTGAGGTGAGTTTCGGTTGGCTTACTTTTTGAGGTGGGGCAAAGTTGGAGCTTGAACATAATTATAAATGAAGTAGACTTGAACATAAATGAGGTAGAATTATGGCTAAGGCTAAGATGAATTCAGGCGCGGAGTGGCGTCGCAACGGTCGAGCTTAGGGATGCTCAGAGGGGAGGGATGAAGCGGGCGTGGTGTAGGGTACACAGCTACATTGCTTGGATGTTTGCCCAATGCTTTGAGCAGCAGACCCGGGTTCGACTCCCGGCGCCCGCATGGAATTCTTCGAGCCAATCCCCTTTTTTTTAGTTCAGTTTTTTTTGGGGGGCCGTAGTGCTTTCCGTGTTGAGTTTACATTTATACATACGGTTGTTTGCAAATTTAAAGTGGGGATGAGGGGACGAACACTGCGTCTTTGTTAATGGGCGCATTTCTCCAGGCACCAGGGTGATTTCTAGCGTGCGACGAAGGCTGAGGCGGAGTAGATCTGGGCCGGCTCAATTTTTGAGTCCGAGTTTGAACACGCACGCATAAATTGGCTTATACTAAAATACTAAAACAAGTGCAGGTGCACGGTCCTCGGAGGCAGTGAACTGAGGAGCCTCCGTACAATGGCTCAAACCTGGCAGAGCTCAGAGGGGAGGAAGGGAGCGGGCGTGGTGTATGGTACACGGCTGTCCTCAATTAGAACGACCTCGAAATAGTTGCACGCAGGAGATCCGGGTTCGACTCCCGGCGCCCGCATTCTGATGCAACTGCGATCTCTTTTTGTCTGCCCCCCTTCGTCCGACGGCGCCTTTCGAGTTGACCGGGGAACATATTTTAGACGTGAACATACATATTTTAGCTATGGTGATCCTCGACATTTCATAAACATATTTGCAAGGGGAAACGGGGATGAATCCGGCCTGATAAAATTATGGGTTGAAGGGAGGGAGGAAGCGGGCGTGGTGTATGGTACACGGCTGTCCTCAATCCATTTGGAGTCAGGCATTGCTGATAGCAGTTCCGGGTTCGACTCCCGGCGCCCGCATAAACAGGTCCCTTGTTGCTTTTTCCTGGCGGCCCTTTATTGTGGGATCCTGAGGAGTTTCGGTGGGGTTACTTTTTTTTTTAGAGGTTGGGCAACGTTGGAGCTTGAATGTACTGTAGATGAGGTAGATTTATGGCTAAGATAAGATGAGGCGCGGAGTGGCGTCGCAACGGTCGAGCTTAGGGATGCTCAGAGGGGAGGGAGGAAGCGGGCGTGGTGTACGGTACACGGCTATCCTCAATAGGCAATAGAGCTGCCCGATTGGCATTGCTGATAGCAGACCCGGGTTCGACTCCCGGCGCGCGCATGCATCTGAGGGCTGCTTCTTTTTTTCTTCTTCCGTTTTCCTGTTCAACGTTCCGTGCTCCTTGCGTCTCTTCTGTCGAGGAGGAATAGAACCGGCATGATAGAGGAACGTATGACATCATCATGCAGACCGTAAATCGGTGTTTGGGGTGGGACGTCCGTCAGAAATACATACGGTATCGGTGAAGATGGCCGACGGAGGTTGATGGGGGGCGGTTATTTAGGCGGAGAGCCACACGGAGCCGGACGGAGAGCTTCGCCGTTGACAAGGATCGATACAGTACCTTATGTCTGACAGCGCCTGCATTGAGATGCTGCGGCGCACGGTTGTCCACTCTCCACGGAAGAGTCTGATACGGGGTGATAAAACGAGGTGATTGCAATATATCCCTCGATGAATTAAACATGCTGCCATGCAATAAATTGAGCATGCTGTAAGGCGTGTGCAGAGGGCGGGTGTGGCTAGGAGACGGCGATAGTGATATCACGGAGATCGGCAGGCATGTTGATTCGAAGCGCAGGGATGGGGTGGGGTTGAGTCATTGAATGACTGGGGATCAGCGCAGGGTGGGGCAAGGCTGTGTGTGGGCGCTGGACAAGAGAAGAGGCCAAGTGGCAAGTGTGGGGCTTGTACGGTCACGCTCGTGTGACTGTGTGACGCCAGTTGGTCTCTGCCCTCCCCGACTTGAGCTCGCTGCTGCCCGCTGCCATGGACGCTGTGGGAACCGACTCGCCGCCGCTGCGCAACACGATCCTGGGCTCGTTCCTGGGCCGCGGCCGCCCGCGCAACTCGTCGCAATCGCACATCGACATCGCCGCCGCGCGCGAGATGTCGCCCTCGCCGCCGACCGCGCAGCCGCCGTCGCCGATCCCTGTGAGTGGGAGCCACCGCCGCCGCCCGCCGCCCGCTGCGCCGGGCCCCGTGGGTGGGGCAGGCCCGCTGGCGCCGTCGACGTCGCACCAGCACCAGCCGGGGCTCACCCTCTCGCACATGCTCCGCCGCCGCCGGTCCGCGGGCAACGTCGCTGCGCCCGCCGCCGCCCCCGCCCCGCCCCAGCCGCTCCCCACCCCCGTCTCCGCCCTCCCCCCGGGCGCCGCCCCGCCCGCCTCCGCCCCAGCGCGCCCCACGACGGGCGGCAGCGGCGGGACGCACCGCCTGCGCCTCGTGCCGCACCTCGACTCGCGGCGCTCCCTGCGCTTCGACCCCATCGCGCGCGACCTGCGCGAGTCCGAGCCCGCGCTGCGCATCGGGCGCTTCACGGACCGCTCCGGGCTGGGGCTCGCCGCGGTCAACGCGCTCAGCACGAACAAGATCGCGTTCCGCAGCAAGGTCGTCTCGCGCGCGCACGCCGAGGTCTGGGTCGAGGCGTCCCCCCACGGCGGCCCGCCCCAGTTCTTCATCCGCGACACCAAGAGCTCGAGCGGGACGTTCCTGAACCACGTAAGATTGAGCCCGGCGAACACGGAGAGCAGGGCGCACCAGATCAAGGACGGGGACATCCTGCAGCTGGGCGTGGACTACCAGGGCGGCGCGGAGGATATATACAAGAGCGTCAAGATCAGGATCGAGGTCGGCCGCGAGTGGCAGGCCGCGGCGAATGCGTTCAAGTGAGTGTGCGCGAGGATCGCCGAGCGCCTTGCTGTCTAGTCTATCGAGCGCGAACTGACGGTGTGTAGTACGAACGCCCTCAAGAACCTCAAGACGCTCGCCATCGCCGCGCCCCCCATCCCGGGCGCCCCCGCGGGCGCGGCGGCGGGCGGGAAGCGCAAGGCGCCCGCGGCGGGGAGCATCCCCGATTGCTGTATCTGTGCGTTTTGCGTCTCTTCCTCTCTTTTTCCCTGTCGCCCGACTTGTGCTTTTTCCTGTCATTTGCGTTTTGGGCCGCAGCCCGGATTCCTCTTTGCTACTTTTTTTCACCACCACTTGTATTCCTTGGTGGCGCATACGAGCACATTTATGGCGTCTCATCGATCCCTCCCTCCCTCCCTCCCTGCTTTGCTTTATTTCCGTCTCCTCCCCCGCTCCGCACCCACTAGCACTTCCGAGCTGCTTTCAGTTTCCGTCTTTCCCGTCTTTCCTCGTCTTTGCTTTCCTTATCCCACTATATCTCATCTTCACCGCCCTCCCCCGCCGTTTTCTGCCTTCCCTTGCCCTCTTTTGACCTCATTGTCCCCTTCTGTGGCCGTCCTCCCCCTGTGCGTCGGCTTGGCGTCCCTTATCGGGGCGTCGATGCGGATTTGCGGCGTCGATCTCGATGTCGATCTGACGCGATGGTGTGCGCCTCGCCACGGGCTGGGAAGGCGGTCGCTCGGGAGGCGAGGGCTGCGCGCTGGTGGGGGCGGGGGCGGGGTTTGCGCGGGAGGCAGAGGCGGGCAATCGCGCACGAGTGGCATGGATGTATCGTATCTCGGTGCTTGCTGGCTATGTTTCGTTACGCCCGCGCGCCTTCCCCTCGCTCGTCCGCCTTCATGCATGCTCCACCGTCCACCGACCACCTTCCTTTTCCCTTCATACCTTCCTCCCTTCCTCCCCATCGAGACGCTCGATACCGCCGTCGCGCCGTCCCGTCCGCCCCTGCCTCGCCCGCTCGTTGTCTCTACTTCCCGCCCACTCGTCTTCGTGTTTCCTCGATCCATCTTTCTTTACCCCGATCTTCCCGTCGTGCTACCTCTTCGCGTCTTCTCTTCGCGTCTTCTCTGTCGTCCTTTGCTTCGTGCGCGCGCCTTCGTCTTCTTTTGCGCCTTTTCTGTCTTCTTTTGCGCCTTTTCTCTCTTTTTTGTCGTCCGTTTTCTCCCCATTCCTTCTTCACCCCCCCTTCCGTGCCTACTTGTCCTGCGTTCTGTTCTATGTACCGTTCCGCGCGCTGGCGGCGTGCCTCTCATCCCTTTCCTTCCCGCCCTTCCTTCCCCTTCTCTTCCCTCCTCTCCCTCTTTCCTTCCCCCTCGTCGTTCCCCCCTTGCGCTCCCCATGCTCACCTCGCCCGCAGGCCTCTTCCCCGTGTCGATCCGGCAGGCGCTCTTCATCGCGCCGTGCAGCCACGCGTTCCACTACAAGTGCCTCCGGCCCCTGCTCGAGGCGCACCATCCGGCGTTTAGGTGCGTTTCTTTACGTTTTGAAATAAGGGAGAGTTGGGGGGTTTTTTTTTGGGAAGGGGGGAGGGAGGGGGTTCTTTCTTCCGTGACCATATTATCTTTTATACGCGCACGGCGGAGCGGGGGTCGAGCGCCGGGCAGCGTGCCTCGGGCGGGCGGCGCCGCCGGTATAATGAGGGCGGGGCGCGCGGTGTGTGGATGTGGTGCTCGTGGACTCGGGGGTGTGGTGTGGGGAGCGAGCGAGCGAGGGGGGAGAGTCGTGTGGGGTCTCCGCGGCGCGAGGCCGAGGGTGTCGTAGATGCGCCGCGTGTGCGGTGTGGCGCAGGGCCGGAGGGGGTCGGTTCGTTCGTGGGTGCAGCTCCTGCTGCTACCACTCTCGCGCGCTGCTCCTGCGGGCGGGATGTGCGTGTCGTGCACCGAGTTCCTTCCCCGCCTTCCCCGCCTGCCCTGTCCTTGCTGCGCCCCAGGCGTGCGGGATACGTTCTTCGAGCTGGGCGGCGGGGTCTCCGCGCGTCGAAGTCCCGTGTCCTCTCCTTCCCGCCTCTCTTTTCTTGCCCACACACAAACAGAGACTGACGAATTCGCAGCTGCCCGCTGTGCCGGACGTTCGCGGACCTGGAGGAGGACGTCGAGGTCGAGGGGGAGGAGGTGTGTGATTTTTTCTTGCTGCTTTTTTTTCTCTCGAAGGGGTTTCTTTCTTTCTGCTTTTTTTCTTTTTTTTTGTCTTCGTTCCTTGCGGGCGAGGGCGCCGTCCTATTTTCGGCGTCTTTCGTCCTATTTTTCGGCGTCTTTCGTCCTGTTTTGGTGGATGTGGATTTGCGGAGTGTGGAGGCGTCGTTTTCCT